GAAATTAAGAAGAAAGAGACAGTGAAGAAAAAAGAAAGTGAAGAATGGACAGTCATTCATAGGAAAAAAAATAGGTACCCGAGCAGTGAAGTCAAAAGAGGAGATAACACAACCTCTCTAGAAATTCAAGGCACAGAGCGGAAGAAATATTTACATGTCTGGAGGCTCAAGAAGGAGACTACCACAGAATGCGTAGAAACGCATGTAAGAAAAATTTGTGGGCAGGATATAGCTGTCAAGGTGGAAAAAATTAAACATAAATCTGAAAGAGATTATGCATCCTTCATAATAGGTGTACCAGAGAGCAAATATCAATTACTATGTCAACCAGAAAATTGGGCGGTGAATATAGAGTTTTGTGAATGGGTGTGGTTTCGCAAGCCAGCCAATAAGTCAAAGAACCAATAAATGTATCGAGGTATTCTACCAAAACGTAAGAGGCCTTAGGACTAAACTGGATGAATTTTGTGAAGGTGTATTTATACACGAAGCGGATTTGTTCGCTATTACCGAAACTGGTTGTAATAATTCAATTAGGGACGCTGAAATAATTCCATCTGGTTATACAATAATTAGAAGTGACCGAGCAGACGGACGTAAGCAAGGCGGCGCATGTTTAGTGGCCACACCGCGGTTCGAGTTGCGACCAGTGGCGATTCCCGGTGACGTCATCGTAGACAATTGTGTATTCGAATGCGCAAGTGCAACTGTTTATTTACATCAGAGATTTTTATTTTTATGTTGCGTTATTTATATACCTCCAAAAAGTAGTGAGACTGATTATATGATGTTATTTAGGATAATAGAAAAATTTTGTGATATGTATAGCGCTGTGGTAGTATTAGGAGATTTTAATTTACATTCCTGTCCGTCATCTGTTAATGATTATTATGTATATTTTCAGGCTTATTGTGGATTCACTCAGAGCAACAGCGTAGAGAACTGTATTGGTCGTTGCTTAGATTTAGTGTTAAGTACATGGGATGGTGTGTGCGTGAGTGCGGCGCCTCCACTCGTGTCTCTCGACCCTTACCATCCCGCGCTCGCGGTATCGGTCCGGTGTCCCGCACCGACGCCCTCATGCTCGCTGACGCCAGACTTGGCCGCCGCTGGTGATACCTTTCCGAACAATAACAAATATTACGTACCGGAGCGATGGAATTTTAAAAAAGCAGATCTGTTAAGGCTATATTCGTCCATAGCAGCTGTAGATTGGGGTCCTATGTGGGGTCTTAACTTAGAAATGAGTTTAAATTATTTTTATGACATTATTTATTCAGTTATAGATGACTGTGTTCCAAAGAAAAAGCGAAACGTTGTGAGCTCGAGGTATCATTACCCCGATTGGTTCACACCTGAAATAATTCGCAACATAAAATTAAAAGCGATTCTGCACAAAAGGTATAAATCGAGTGGGTTAGCGGAAGATTACGGTAAATACTCGCAGTGTAGAGCGAGAGTAAAAAAAGATGATAGGTATTGAGAAGACACTTTATCAGCACCGCGTCCAAAATCACCTACATAAAGAACCAAAGGCATTTTGGAACTACATTAAATCTCAAAGGGGTAGTAGACACTCACGGTCAATATTACAGGATGGGGAGGCGTTAACGGGTCAACAAAGTGTTGAAGAATTCGCGAGGTATTTCCACTCGGTGTATAGCACGAAACAAGCAGACTTAGACGTGAACGCGTGTATCGTTAATGCTGGTGGAGGTAATGGTGGTGCGCGCGTGCATCTAGACCGCTTAAAACTAGAAGAAGTTAGAGATGCGCTACAGCGGTTAAAGCCTAAGTCTGCCGTAGGACCGGACGGCATACCTCCCTACGTATTTAGGGACTGTAGGGAAGTGTTGGCTGAACCTCTAGCTCACATATATAACCTTTGCATTGAGTCGGCGGTGTTTCCCGAGAGGTGGAAAATAACACGAGTCGTGCCGGTGCCCAAGAAAGGTATATCAACTAAAGTAGAAGGATATAGACCTGTAGCCGTCCTGTCAACACCGGCGAAAGTGTTGGAGTCTGCTATACATAAGAATGTACTCTCGCAGGTAAACACCCAGCTGACAGATGCTCAGCATGGCTTTCGACCAGCACGGAGTACCGCAAGCAACCTTCTGAACTACATGGCTGATATCGTACCGGTAGTGGACAGTGGAGTACAAGTGGACGTTGCTTACTTTGATTTTAGAAAAGCTTTCGACTTGGTCGATAACGACGTATTACTTAAAAAGTTAGCAATCGTTGGTTTTACTCCACACTTACTACAATTGTTTGCCAGTTACATGAGGGACAGGCAACAATATGTGGAATACGCTGGTTTCGTATCGAAACCATATTACACTCGATCTGGTGTGAGTCAAGGCAGCAATCTCGGTCCTCTCGAGTTTACATTAATGATAAACGAGCTGCCGAGTGTTGTGATTGACGCTAAATGTTTGCTGTTCGCTGACGACCTCAAGCTGTATCTACCGATCAGGGAACCGGAGGACTGTGAGAGGTTACAACGCGACATTGACAGGGTGGTAGCGTGGTGTGAGGATAATAAATTGCAGTTTAATTCATCTAAGTGTGTAACGCTAACTTTTACTCGTGCACGCAATCCCGTGCGCTATACGTATGCACTGGATGGAGTAGCTATGCCACGAGTGAACGAGGTTAAGGATTTGGTTGTTCGTTTCACCTCAGTACTTAATTTCCAAAATCATATAGCGGACATCTGCAAGAAAGCGTATCGCAACTTAGGTTTTATACTGCGCAGGGCTCGTTGTTTCACTAACATTAAAGCCATTGTAGCACTGTATAACGCCTTAGTTAGGAGCCAGCTTGAGTACAACGCGGTTATCTGGGCTCCACATGAAACTAAATATAGTCTCATGCTGGAGAGAATTCAAAACAAATTTGTTAGATTTCTATATTTTAAATATTATGGCGTATATCCTTTTTATCCACTAAAATATCCAACCTTATTCGTTTTAGGTATGGTGGGATATAATGAACTCCGTGTTAGGCGGAACCTCGCATTAGTATCATATATTCTCCAAGTAATAAGAGGAAAGATAGACAATCCTTATTTCTTGGAGGGTATATATTTGAATGTGCCGGAGAAATACGTGTGGCGAAGGCGACGGCCGCGGCTGCTGGTTGTGCCACGCGCTCGCACCAACTTGCTGCGGGAGGCGCCGCGCACTCGCGCCACCAGACTACTTAACCTTATCCATGAGGAAGTTGACATATTTGTATGTTCTATGAGTGAATTCACAAGGGCTGCATTATTTATAATATGTTATAATAATTAAAATGTTTACTGATTTCACTAGCGCATTAGGTTATTAGATCCTGTAATGTTAGTGATAAGTTTGGCTGAATAAATAAATAAATAAATAAAATATATATATACATATATATATATATATATATATATATATATATATATATATATATATATATATATATATATATATATAAAGTAGGCAGGTCTGAAAAAATTATCTTAAATTTTTCCGCAAAAATCTTTGTAAAATGTATTTGTCAAACTGCTGGGCTCAGGCTTCTCTTATTATCATATGAAACCCACCATCATATGAATATGAAACCCACCATCGCGCACTAGAGCTTAATGCTGTAGTGCGCGATGGTGGTGGGTGGGTTTCATATGTCCCCGAAATATTTATTCCCTCAGGTATGCAGGTTGTCTTATGATGTTTTCCTTCACCGCCGAGTACGTGGTAAATCACTACTTAAAATTTTCTGATGCCATTGATGTCGGTGGGAATCAAACCCTAGTTGCTACGTATTGTGAAATTTACAACAGGCACTCACTCCTGAGCTACCACAGCTCTTCTATTAAACCTCAAGCTAGCTTTATAATAGCTTAGTTTTAAAGATTGTTGAAAAATAAACAGGTATAGTTAATAATTTGTGACTTAGCTTGAGGACATTTTAATGGTAATATTTATTTTTAATACACGTGAGTATGAGGTGTTAAGGAAACATAACGTACCTTTAATAATTCTGTTGTTATCATTTGATAGTCAATGAAGCGTTTCAGTTTACCTTTGATCATTTAAACAAACTAAAATGTCAGCGATACGGAGAAGAACCTTTTTCCCTGGTTCATAAAGAATATTATTGCACAAGTGAGAAATCGATGATACTAAATCTTACAACGATAAACTTGAATAAAAAAGGTATTATAGTACGGTCTTCATTTACTGCTGGTTTTTACGTCTCCACTTTCAGTTCAATATGAAATCCAATGTATTTTCAATATGTCTATTGGTTTTCGGTAAGTGCATGTTTATAAAATATTTCTCGGCTTGCTTTTTCATTGTAACTATGTAGGAGTTGACTAGCAGATGTATTTTAGAATTTAGGTTAAATTATATAATATATTACAGTATGTAATTATATAATATATTACAATATGTAATATATGTAATATATTACAGTATATTGCCCCTTTGATTAACATATAACGAAGCCGATTTTTTGCCCACTCGACTAAACTGTAGCTATTTAATCTATGCGATTAATATTAATAAGGACACTTTATTTGAAAAAAACAAAGAATATATATAGTCTCTGCGTACCCCTCTGGGTGGTAGGCGTGAGGGTAAATGTATGTATGTATTTAAGTAAAGATTCGGGAATTTGAAGTTAGTAATAGATCATTATATCAAGATACGGCATTATGTTGTGATAATTACACCATGTCTTATTCAGGTTTATTATCATTACAGTCCATCACAAGTCCACTGCTGAAAAAAGCCCTCATAAAGAGTCATAAATTTTGCTTATATTTATGAAAGATATTTTGATGTTGTTACAGTTTCTTTTCATGTGATTAATTTGTTTTTATGGATGCAGGTGGCTAAGGACAGTAGTTTATAGTTTCTTCAGGGAGGCCTAGGTTCAGTAGTGGACTTGTGAAGCGTTGTTAAAATGATGATGAAAAGTGTTAAATTAGTTGAATTATTACTTATTTCGATTTGTTACAGAAGTTGTTTTCGTCACTTCAATACCCATTAATGAATACTACGCTCATCCCGGCCAAGTTTGTTACCTCATTGACAACTCTTCCAGTCAACAGAATGATAATCCATTAGAGAAACAAATGCTGCTTGCAACATATTCGCAACCACTAAATATGGTTGCTGAATCAAACAACAAGAACCGTCAAGTCAATTGTAAGTGCATTCTAATTATTAGAGTTTAACTGATGTAAAGTAAATTCGAAGTGAACTCCACACAAGCGTTATATACAGATGTGTTGTGTCCCCTTGGGGCTGCAATACCTCATAGGCTGTCTGTACTGAATCTCTATAGTCTACAAATTAGAATACAATAATGTCCGCGTTTTATCATAGCGGAAAAATTAGAAATTAGAGTGATACTTATCCAGATGGAGCCAGCCGCACCCTCTATTAAACATGTGAGGTTGCAATGTCGGTGTATTCCAGTTTAATGAAAATTTACTTTTTTCATTAAACTGGACTGACTGAACTTCGGACGGTTCATTGAGTCCAAGGCCAAAGCGGATGCAAGGATACTAGGAGTCCTTGCAAATGTGTGGCGATACTTCACGCTGAGACAGATGCTTACTTTATATAAAGCCCAAGTCCGGTGGTGCATGGAGTATTGCTGCCATATATGGGCATGTATGTAGCAAAATGCCATGCCACCTAGCAGCCTTAGACTCAATGGAAAGGCGCGCTAAGAGGCTTATTGGTGACCCGAATTTGGTTGAAACCAATCTTACCAGCTTCTAACACCGGCGTAAAGTAGCCAGCCTTTCGGTCTTCTACAGGATGCATTTCAGAGAGTGTGCGCAGGAATTGCATAATTTAATTCCTCTCCGTTCCACCATCGGACAACCAGAAGTTTGGCCTGTCGTCACCCATTCGTTGTTGACTTACCACGCATTCGAACCAAACAGTTTGCTACGTCGTTCGTCATGCGTACAGCAAATGAGTGGAATAAGTTACCAGCATCTATCTTTCTATCCGATTACAGTGTAGGTGTCTTTAAGGCAAGAGTGCATAGGTTTTTGTTAAGTCAGTGCGCTTTACCACCTTAAGCTCCATCACCAATTACCATCAGGTGGGATTGTAGCTAAGTGCTGGCTTAGAAAAGTAAAAAAAATTAAAAACGAGATTTCAGTCAACCTGATAGTAGATGTCTACTGCAGTCTATGGACACTTGCAACTAGCTTCAAACAAAGATGTTTACACTTAGGTTACACTGAAAGTTCCACGCTCCTGGCCGACCATAAATCACCCTCTCCGCAACATCGCACTGCTCGTATTCAAAATGTTTTTGGGAGGTAGGCATCGCTTTTGAGTACCGTATTGGTGGTCGTGTTTAGATCCATAGTGAAATCCGTGAAGGTCGACCCTCAACTGCGATCACTGAGTACAAGAAGCTACTGTCATGAGCCTTATCAAAGGAAACCGATTGATGGGCCTATTCTCAAATCTCAAGCCTTGTACGGACTTAGCGTTCCAATCTACGTGTTATCCAACATACCTGTTGAATACACGTACAGGTGGATACGCGTACAGGGTACCTTTATAAATTTGCGGGATTATGAACGTGTTGTGACAAGTTGTGAGTCAGCCAGCCAGTATCCGCCATGTCGCACAGCTGTCGTGTGCGCTACCACTGCGGCGCTTCTCACTGTGCAACCTAAAGCCGACTAGTGACAACTCGCCGCGAGCACGCGTATACAGGTACGGACTAAGTGTTTCTGTGTACGCCTAACCGACGGCGCGTACAATGGAACGCTTAGTTCGTATAAGGATTCAGGATACTTAGGTATTAGTAAAAGCCGAAATTAAAGTTTTTTTAAAGTAAGGAAACGTTGCAGCCTACTACTAATAAAATTGCTTTATAATGTAGGGTAAACTTTAATAAAATCATAAATATTATTTTTTCTACATAACCGGATTAGCCAGCAGAGTACACATTTGACTCCTGAACAAAATATTCATTAGACAATGGGAAAATGTAAATCTTTATTTTCGTAACATTTATTGCATTTATAGATTGCGTTTTAATTATTCATGAAGTAATATTATTTTCTTAATATTAAAGTGTCAAACGAGCCATAGTCTACGAGATGGTGAATTATTTTTTGCAGCCATCGATATATCTAAGCTAGAATGACGAATGCACTGCTATTTCCCGGTGAAATAGAGAATAGAAATTAACCAGCCAGAGTTGCAGACCTATCATGACAGAAGTCGATCTATTTAATACAAATTTATTTCAAAACGTCGTTATAAAATGAAGGAATAGGGCTAAGAGGAAAAAGTCTTAAGCTTTGTAAACAAGCCTTAATTTTGTTTTACAGACAATTCGCCAGCATCGTCAACAAGTCCAATCGCGTATCCTAGTCACTGTACAGATGAGAGAAGATCCAACATTTTATCAACGCTCTTCAGTATACCTGCCACTGTTGCCAATTCTCTGCTGAACGGAGAAATTACTGTTTGATTATAATAAATTGATTTGAATTATTTAATTTGCCAGTAATTTTACTACCATATTTCTGCATACCATCTATATACCTTACTTGATTACAGTAGAAAGAAAGCTTACTTGTATACAATATTTAATATATATATATATATATAAAAACCTTTACAGTCAGGTTGTATCCAGTATCGCGGAGAAATAATGATTTATCCAACAAACTCTTGTTTCTTGCGGGATCTGTACTCGCGGCTCCGCAGCTTAAGAAAACCAAATGCAAACATGAATAATTACACATAGCTTTAAAAAGCTTAATGACAAAATAATATACCGTCTAACAATCAGTTACAGACAATGATAGTAATTATCATTGTCTGTAAAGCAATCTACGTTATAACCTAGATTTGAAAGAATCCCTTAAAAAGTTAAGTAAAAATATTTAAACTTTAATTTCTCAGTATACTCGTATTTACTAAAATTTAATGTGTGGTCACAATAATAAAAATAGTTTTATTAAAAATAGTGATGTATATTTTGTTGATACAAGGTGTTCCTAGTATTTAGAGAAAGCACAAGCTAGTTATACCAGTTACTTTTCCCCAAAGATTCAGTTATTACCTTATGGTGCTATGTATACGCTTTAAAAGAAAGTCCCAAAAATATGCAGGAAATATCGAGCATTCACTTTCATTACTATTTTTGTTGGGCAGGCAAATCTATCGATTCTTTATAAACACTCAAGCCAAATATCGACATTAATTTTGATATAGTTGAGTCAATCCCTATCGTACATGTAAAATATTTTGTTTAAAAATATATTCACCAAAATCATACAAATTATCAACAACGTTACTTTTTCTTTGCAAAATATCGAAAATACTAAAATAATTGAAAATCTTCTATATTTTAGACAGTAAATAACCAAAAATATACGCGTCGTAGCGGTAACGACGTCTTGCGAATTTTGAACCATTTTTCAAAACAATTATTTACATGCTATCCTTTTTCTGTTTTGAAATTTTGCAATAAGGGATTTTATTCTCCCATGCACATTATGGCCATCTATATATTCTAAATGTAGTATTATGTGTGAGGGTATTTCGTTGTCGATGTTCGCGACAATCGACCTTTTTGTGCAATTTTATTGTTTATTATTTTATTATTTTTACAAAATATAAAGAAGATAGGATTTAGTCTAGTCTTAATCTGGTTATGATTCATGAAATCAAGTGAATAGTTTTCGAAATCAAGTGACGATGCTTATATTACATTACAAATATTCGTGTCGGTAACTGAAAACGAATAGTTAGTGAGGTATGAATACTAAGTCTTGGCAGATACACGCTGCATTAGCGAATTAGGTCCCATTTACAATCCCATTTTATATGCTGATTTACTACTTGCCCAGCGAATAATAAAACTATCGAGACAGCTATCTCTGCTTGGACGAAAATATTTCCAAATCATGAAGTGAAGGTAGGTATTTGATAAAACCGTGTAGCGGTTACGTAAGACAGTCCACTAATTCATAGTTAGAAGCTCTTAAGACCCCATACCATCCCGTGAGTATCGTAAAAGGCGACAGACTGAAATCAAACAGGAGATAGATAGCCTTATTTTTCTGATAACAATTCAAAATAATAATAAGTTGCAGTTGCCACATGCAGCTGTATTTCGTATGGTGAGTGTAGAGAATCGGTGACCTTTTTTGCTGGAAACGAGGATCTTGGTCCTCACGGGTGACAAACCATCTGCATTTTTATTCGTATTCTTGTTCACAGACTGCAGATTTCTGTGAACACGTACAGGATCGCCCCTGTCACTACATCAGATTTGAAAGACCACAAATCTTCGCTAAAGAACACCGACTCCTTCCAAGTATGATTCGCGAGGCTATTGAAATAAAAAAAAAAAACTTCCTAATTTCAATAGAGAAGTTGGCTGGATGCTACCATCTGCTTGGGATCCTATAATAAATTAAATTAAATCCCAACCCAAGCATACAACTGCAAGACTTCAAGATACTGTTACAAGCTTGAGGTTCATAACAACAAAAACTTCCGATTTAATTACCAAGATTTACACTTTAATTCACTTTACACTAATTAAACTTAAAACACTAATAATTAATCACACTGATTCACTTTATTCCGCTCCGAAGCTTCGCTTGTCTCGCCAAATTCAATACTTCCGCGATCGCATCTTGCAGCGCCTATAAATACAAATTAGCACTGAAACATCCAGAATAATTAAGTAAATACGCGACTTCTAGAAGCTTAGTTCTTCGTTACGAGATTAGATAGCGCTGTGAGTTGAAAGATTAGTGATGTCATTTTCTGGAAAGCTCCACTCGCTCTCGTCCCTGACACTAGATGGCGCTAGTGCCAGCTACATGACGTCGAATTATTCGCGCAACACTGCCCCCTCCTAAGACATGCTCGTCCCGAGCATTATCAGCCCCATAATAACGCGCCAAGCGATCCACATGGACGATCTTAGGAGTCCCTCTTGCGCCTTTCTGTATCCGGTAGGTTACATCGTTAATCCTGGTTACAATCCGGTATGGGCCGTCCCATTTAGCTTGAAGCTTAGGATATTTCCCTTTGCTGCGGACTGGATTAAGCAACCACACTAGTGAACCTTCATCTAAGCCTTTATTGTTCATTTTGCGGTCGTACCGGGTTTTCAGCTTCTCAGACATTTGCTGGCCCGATTGTCTGACGTGCTCATAAATGTCATTCATTTTGTTCCGCAAGTCATTTGCATAATCGGTTATACTGCGTGGGGCATCAGGTGGTATCCCGGTGATCAGGTCTGCAGGCAGCCGTAATTCTCTTCCAAAGTTTGCGAAAGCTGGTGTCACTGCTGCACTTTCGTGAACAGCGCTTCGATATGACAACAAAAACGGTTGTATGTGCTTGTCCCAATCTCGTTGCCGATTGTCTACAGCTTTTGCTAGGTACCTCTGCAATGTCTGATTAAATCGTTCTACCATTTCATCAGATTGCGGGTGATAAGAAGTCGTTCTTGTTTTACAAGTACATATAACTCGAAAAGTTTCCTAGAATATTTGAGACTAAAATTCCTTCCTTGATCGCTGTGAATCTCTAAAGGTACTCCAAAACGATAGAAGACTTCATGAACTAGCTTATTCGCAACTTTTGAAGCTTCTTGATTTGGAATGGCGAAGACTTCTGGCCACTTAGTGAAGTAATTCATCACAACCATGAAATACTTGTTGCCGCTTTCACTCTCCGAAAACGTCCTCGCCACGTCATGTCACGTCTCTCCCATGGTGCACCAACATTGTACAACTTCAATGCACCTCTACTACGAGTCTGAAGTCCCATTACAGCCGCACAACTTGTACATTTGCGACACCAGTCCAGATCTTCAGTAGAGTTCGTTTAACTCCCAGATGGCCTCCTGAACAATAATTATGGTACAGCTTTAAAATATCCGGTACTCTAGCTTTAGGGACGACCATTTGCAAATGACAGCTGTCTCCCCGAACATTTTCCCATTTACGGCACAGAACTCCATCCTGAAGCAGCAAGCTTTCCCTCTGGGCCCAATAGCTTTTAGTGGTCGAACTCATCGCTGAGACGTCGCTCCACTTGGGCTTGGGAGCACTGGCCTTCATCCATTGCAGAATCGGCAAGATGTCCTGATCTTCCTGCTTCTGCTTCTGCTATGCATGTCGTACGCTGTTCTTTCACTCGTTGCTGAAGTGGTCTGTCCGGAGCATCCTCTCGGATACCACTTCCTTACTTTCTTGCCTAGTACAATGTTTGCAATCTTCAGGACAAGGTCTTCTTGACAATGCATCTGCGTTGCCATGAGATTTCCCGCTGCGATGTTCGATCTCAAATTCGTATTTCTGCAGTAGTTCAATCCACCTCGTAACTTGTCCTTCTGGATTTTTAAACAGTAATAGCCATTTTAGTGCAGCATGGTCAATTTGTAAGTGAAATTTCCGCCCCGTAGAAGATATTTGCTAAAATGCTGCAACGACTTTACCACAGCTAGCAATTCGCGTCTTGTAACACAATAGTTCCTTTCCGGTTTTGACAACGTCTTGCTGAAGTACGCTATCACGACCACTTGGTCACCATTCCGTTGAGACAACATACCGCAAAGTCCTATATCACTTGCGTCCGTGTGAACTATTAATTCTTTGCTTGCATCAGGGTATCCCAAAATAGGTGTTTTGCGCAGACGGTCCTTGAGCTCCTGGAATGCGATATTGCAACTTTCATCTCAGCAGAATTGTCGCTTCTCCTCGGTTAGCTTGTGCAGAGGTTTGGCTATATCTGCAAAATTCTTCACAAATCGCCGATAATAGGAGCACAAAACCCAAAAATGCTCTAACCTGCGTCTTGTCTTTTGGAACCGGCCAATCCTTGACAGCGGCAATTTTCTCTTGATCCGTGCGGATACCTTCTTCCGACACTACATACCCCAAAAAGTTGACTTGCCGTTTGAATAGTGAACATTTCTTCGGACTCAACTCGAGGTTGGCACTCTGAATCTTCATGAGCACGCGTTCCAGGTTTTGAAGGTGTTCCTCAAACGTACGGCCCACGAGGATGAAGTCATCCAAGTAGACCAGACAGGCATCACCAATTAGCCCGTTAAGTATAAGCTTCATCAGTCTTTCAAACGTTGCTGGAGTATAGCACAATCCAAACGGCATTACTTTAAATTGCCACAGACCCTTTCTCGTCGAGAACGCAGTTTTCTCCTTGTCCTTAGGGTCAATTTCAACTTGCCAGTAGGCACGTTTTAGATTCAGCGTGCTTAACCATTTTACTCCTGTAAGCATGTCCAGCGTGTCATCAATTTTTGGCAAGGGATAGCTGTCCTTCTTTGTAACGTCATTCAGACGGCGGTAATCAACACAGAACTGCATGCTGCCATCCTTCTGCTTTACCAGCACCACGGATGAACACCATGGACTAGATGAAGTTTCAATAACACCATCCTTCACTATTCTCTCAATCATGGTTTCCACTTCCTTT